GTTTCGTCCTTGCACTTCTGAATCGTGTGGGAAGCAACGAGATCGGCCTGAAGAGCTGCCTCGCCACTGGGCTGTCCCTGGACTTCGCTCAGCTCCAACCCATCTGCCACCATTTTGTGCACGGCAGTGGCCTCCCCTGCATCGTTGCAGGTGCGCGCTACCTTCTCCACCGCCGTAGCGAAGGTCTCCACCCCTTCCTTGCCAATGTTCATCTTCTGCAAGGCCTTCTCCTCAGCTTCGTGGAACTCGTCCTCGATCATGTGGTGCGCGGCCTCGCGAGCGTGCATCTCCACATTCATCGCCGACTGCACAGGGCAGGAGGGCTCAGAGCATGCATGTGTGGGGAGCTCCTTCTACCATTGTTCAGAACAGTGACTGCCGTATGCGATCTAGTTTCCCGCATTCCCATTCTATGCTTCTGGTGGGGGCCATGCCCTGGTCGCAGAGGATGTAGTTGTTCAGGATGGTGCACGCGGGTGCGGTTATAAAAAAAAAACAAGGAACTGGCAACAAGCCCATTTGGAACTGCAAGTGGTCAGCAGGGAGACTGGACATCCTCGACCGGCAACAAAGACACCTCCCTACCGATGACGAGGCACACGTGAGCAGAAGGTTGTCTTGGCACTGGGAAGCGCTGATGTTTTTGTCTGGACAACAACTTACCCCTCGACGATGGCAGCTGATGATGGCGACATCCAACGTAAGAGCGATGATTCCGACAAGGTATCATGCTGAACCGCATGGAGACCCAGACACGAATGAAAACATCCTTGCAAATATTTTGCAGCACTCCGCCTTTTACAAATCCAAGAAGTTCACCTCTGACGCAAATGCCCAAACTATTTCTATCGAGAAACCAACAACATGGAACTGAGGTCCTATCTTCTTCCTCCATGCAACATCTCCAAGCAATCGGTTCCTTGAAGAATCGAGCCTACCCTTTATATCCTTATTCGAACTCAAGCTGAAGGTCTTTGGGGTCAAGCGTCTGTACTGGATACGTATAGAAATGGGATTCAAGGTCCCTCCTACAGCTCCCTCGCAAGAGCGAGCCTTTTAAAAGGCCATCAAACAGCGGATTAGGGATCCTCGTCCTCCTGGCCCTGGAACTTGCGCCCCGCCTGGTTGTCTGCGATGGGCTCAGCCTTGGCTGCCCACTCCGCCTCCATGATTTCAAGGATCTCTTTCTGCCGCACCGAGTCCTTAGTGGCCTCCATCTCTTCCAAGAGGCAGGTCACGATGCCTTTGGCCTCATTGACTTGAGCTTCCGAGA